ATTTTTCTGCTTTCAGCCCCCCATTTTCGCAGTCATTTAGTTGCGTGTTATTTGATTGAACGGTTATCCTTTGAAGTGCACTGAATCAGAAGTGGACACTTTTCGGACACATTGAAATATCGATAGACATACACACGCATACTCATAGCTGTGTATGTGCAGGCGCATACTGGAATGTGCGTATTTGTGCGGAAAAATATAATTTTTTCCACTTTGCCGATTTTTTGCCTATTTTTACTTATTTATACGTATTTACGAATATTTTTATTTGTGTGCACAAAAGTGCCACTGGTTTCATTTATTAAATTATGTATGCAAGTAAATAAATGCTTGATTAGCGTTTTACACATTTATGATTTTGTTATTCACTGAATTCCAAAACTAAAAGGGAATTTGTATGAAAAAAATGAGTTTTTATTGAATTTTTTTTTGTATGAAATTCGCTGTAAATTGGCTTAAAACTTTTATGAATACTAGGCTGTTATATGAGAATTTTAATTATTTTTTGTAAAATTTCTAGGTGTATTGATTTCAGCTGAGTTCATGTAGCTGCCTCGTCATATTTTTGAGAGGAAATGCAGTTAGGCGTGCTAAAACTCTTTAGTGCTATTTTGAAACATGCAAAACTGTTGAATCCTGCAGAAGCTATTTTGGCAGGGCAATCCAAGCAAGAACTCCCCATAAACTAATGTTGAATCGCAGCAGGGGTTGCAGTATGAAAGAGGTAGTGTCCTTCTTCTAATTCTCTTTCAAATTCCGGCAGCTGAGACTAAAATGATTAATAAAGTAAACCCCTCTACCGTCCGGGTGTTCGCATTACTGAGTGTTGTCTTGGAAGAAGTAAAAATTTTGTTACTCTCTAATCCATTACGTGTAGTTTGTCCTACTACTAGCCTCGGCAAAGGGCGATCTTAGGTGACAACTTTCCGAAGAAAGGAAATTGCGTCATCTAGCGCAGAATTTATCATGGTTGAGATAGTTGTAACTAGTTCTTGTGCCTCATAGACCACGGATCTAAACTGAATTAAAGTGGTTAGACTTTCCCGTATTCCTGTGCATGTAATAAAGGAGCTCACTAAAAGATATCATACTTTTAAAAATTGCTTTATCAAAACAGAAGATGAAGGAATAGAAATCAAGTTCCATAGTCCACCCCAGAGTTGACTTGCAATTTACGATAGAAGCTTGACATGGTACACCATTTGTGTGTGCCACATTGACATAAGTGGTTGTGAAAACGCCCTCCTGAAGACGAAAATCTCCCCGGCAAGGGTAAATACTAGTTGTCAACTAGAATTCAACTAGTTTACATTTATACACCAACTAGTTCATCTTCATCCATTTTCATGTGAGCAACTGCTTTTTTTAACACGCCAATGTCCTACGAGTTGACAATTGTCCTACTCTGCATCAGCTTTATACTACTTAAATACTAGTTAATTTAGGCATGTTGAATTTCTATATACACACAAAAAAAAATAAAATAAATCAACTAAAATTCAGTTCGTCGGCTGCAAGAATCGAACCGAGACCCTCATGCACCACAGTGATGACCTCTAACCACCAGATTATGATATATGGAGGAAGACAATCTGCGTACTTCAACAGAACTTTTTAGGAAATGAAACTCAGCCGTGTCATACTAAAAGCATAAACATCATACGAATGACGTGGAGGTGAAATTTTTTGTTCCGCCAAGAATTAAAAAATAAAATTAAATTAAAAAATTCTGTTTTACCGAATATTAAAAACAATAAAACTTAAATATTTATTTGCCTCTAGTGCGACTCGAACCGAGGGCATAACGCAACACAGCGATATCCTCTGACCACTCGACTATCAAGACGATGCAACGGTCAATGTCATTTTGAGCACTTGAATAGAACAGAGCAGAGAATGGAATTCAGTCGCGGTCTGCCGACATAACAACTACAAACAGTGGTGGAAATTGTTATCTGTCCAGTTATTGGTGGACTTCTTTGCAAATAGCGAACTGGTATGATTTTGCCTTCAACATACCAGTATTTAACTAGAATTTCTACACACTAGTTGGTTTTCCCCTGCAGGGTCCATATGGGACATCTGGTTGTATTCATTTAAGTCGAGACTTTCTGAACCACCAACGCAGGTAGATCTTAACATCCTGGCATATCTCTTGGTGTCTTCTAGCTTTTAATAATGTAAGAATTGTGCCTTCAGAATGTGAAAGTAAATATGGAATCTTAAGTTCTTTCAAAGACTATTAACTTAAACTTGATACTCCTTTTTTCTAAACACGCTGATTATATTTAGAACCAAGTGGTATTAAGAGCTAGAACGTAGTCTAAGGAACAGACTCATAAAAAATCAGTGAAATTTTGAAATAAAGTAGGTAAGTTTTTGGTGATGTATTACATGCCTTTTCGAAAATGTTCTAAAATCGGAGTTCCAAAACAGTTTGCAAAGTGTTAGACTTGAGAACTAAAACCAGAGTTTGTTAAATTTAATTGGACCTAAATTTGAGTTTAAACTATAGCTGTAGGAGAGCTACGTATGTATGTAAGCACAACCAGATCTGGCATTTGAGTAGCAAGCAAGCAATTTAACTGTACCCCTAACTCCACACCGCATTCCAACAAAGCGTCGACTATGGAAAACTGAATTGATTGAATTTCAACTGAGCGCAAATACATACGCACTATACACACATTCATATGTACGAGTATGTGTGTGCGAGTATTTGTGCTAATCAGTTACAACGTCATTTCTATCGATTGATAACAAAAGTGGCAAACAAAACACACAAAACAATGGTTAAGCTGAAAATTCTACACTGCAATTACGCCACGTACTAAAGGTGAAAACTCAACAGAGCAACAACAATAATAACAACAACAACAAGAGTAGCAACAGCTATAGCTGCAACTACTACCATTACAGTAATAATGAACATTGTTGGTTAAGACAAAGCGACCAAACATTTCATTGGTATAAAGTACTGTACGTTTGTATATACATATGTACATATATAAGTATGTATGTATGTATGTAGAAGTTCATAAGTACGCATCTTTACATGTAAACATTAAGCTACGCAGACATATGTATATATGCTTAACGCCGCACTGTTCATATTCACATATACATACACATACATACACACATACAAATAGAATGTTCGCTCTGCTAAGTAGTTGCTTGTTACTCCAGTTGCTGCCTGGTGTCCATGGTAGTTGTAACGGCTTGTAGACTCTCTCTTACATATGTATGTACATATGTAAATATGTATGTACTCAGTACTCAACCGCATAAATTGTTGTAATTAAAAGGAATTTCTGAAAGCACTCATATTCGACAGCATAAAGGTTTTGGTGTGGTCAGTGTCGGTAATCTTATTTGAGGGGAAAGCTGTTGGTAACAAATAAAAGGATAAAGGAAGCTTTATGAGCGGACTGAAATTTCCGATCGAAAATACACTGAAAATTTGGAGAGTTTTTTTTAATTTTGAGTGAACCTCTTGCGAGCCAAATGGAAACTGACAATTAATCTTTTGGTCATTTTCCTCTTGTACTAATACCAGCGGGTGCAAAATCAGAAAGCTTAAAAGCTGGAATATTTTCATACATTCAGATGAGCTGATCTATCCAGCGTAGCCGGAAACTTCACTCGCCGTAATCCCATACGGATCATCGTTTTATTGTCTGCCCATGGCGGCCGCGGCAGCCGAGTGGTTAGCATTGCGTAAAGCCATTCGGAAGGCTAGAGTATCCATGCCTTCGAGTGTATTTCTGACATCAAATAATGTCTGCTCATGAAAAACCCTCGGCTTATATTATATATACATATACACGATATATATACGGACCCTAAAACTTCTTTAAAACCTTCGACTCAACAAGTTGTCATCTTCCACTTCTCTGACCCACATAAGTGGACCGGAGGGATGAAACGTCTGGTTGAGTTTGCCTTTGAGCGTTGAGCGATCCCAAGATGAAGATTTCCGGGGGTACCAAGTAATCAAACGCGGGTTTCGAATCGACAAAGAGCTGTTGTTTTTTCAAGCCCAAAAAACTTCCGTTCATTTCGTTGACTCTAATATATATGTTAACTGGGCTGAGCAGGTTCAGGTTCCAGTCGTCCACACCTCTTATAGGAAAAATTCCGATCTAGAAACCATCGTTAAGTCTCCATTCTCCCATTTCGCATTTCGGTTTCTCTTTCTTTATTACCCATCAAACACATTTTTCAACCCTCTCAGTTCTTAATATTTTAACCACACACTTTGATCGCAACTTTTTCTTCATTCCTCTCTAAATTTTTAAAGTCCCTTGGAGGATCTCACTTTGTTTCCAAAAAACAATCAACTATAAGAAACTTCACTACTACTAACTAACTAACTTCCCCTCAGAAGCTGGAATTCCCAACGACTTCTACGAAAAACCAAGCAACACTGGCCTGGACAGCTTATCTCAAACAGGAGAGTCAGCTTTCAGTCCACCAAACTAAATCAAGCGAGCAAACCACCACAAAATGCCCAACAGCAACAGCGATACCGGTAAAAAGAGGTAAAGGGAGGCAGTGAGAGAGAGAGAGAGAGAGAGAGAGAGGGAGAGAGAGAGGTGGAAGAAATTTGCTTGGCAAGGAGTTAATGTTGAAGATGTAGAAAAAGCTCAATGAAATTTACGCAAATACGTACGTATGTAAAGCTTGGCAAGTAGGTGCTACCAGAACTTTGTACCTACAAAGCGTATAAATTTGTAAGACAATGAAATTAACGGTACAAGGCATCTTGAGTGCTTTTGTTTAACTATGAGTATGCGTATGTGTGTGTAAAAAGTATTTATGTGTATGCTTTTGTATACTGAATAGGGGCGTAACATACATACATATGTATGTATGAATGTGTGTAGTATATATTGTATGAGAAGGTTAAATGCTCAGTAATTCACTCCCTCACTCACACACACACACACACACACACACACACATTCACACTTGCACTCATACATTCTTTCACTTACCTCTATATCACCCGTATCCGGATGGCGCATAACGAACGCCGATGGCACAATACCTGGAATTTCCTGCTGCGGTATGAACAAGAGCGAATGATGGAAAAGTGCATTCAACAGCAAACTCATTATGACAACCGGTTTATATTTGCCAAATTTGTCGACAAGGAAACCTGATGGATAAATAAAAAAAAGAATAAATAAATAAATGAAAATGAACAGTAAAAGCGAAGCAGAAGAAAATTTTGAGAGAAAAGTACTTATTTAATATAATATATATATACATAATTAAGTTTATAATTAAATCAAATGACATGCTACAAGCCCAAGGAGCATGTATAGCCATGCATTGAGAAATCGAGGTCAGTCGGTAAGTTACTGTCAGTGAAATGTGTTGAAATTAAATTAAATTCTCAGTAATCAGGATGCGATGAATTCTACTTGGTTTTTTTCTTTCTTTTAGCTCAGTGGACTATATTTACAAGTACAATACTTTTTCATAGTTACCTGTTATTGGTGGACTGAGGAATGTGGTGAATGGCAATGCCAGATAAATAATGGCAATCTCCTCCACTGTTAAACCGATCGATTGCATGTGTATGGTTAAATAGGGCAATAGCGATGATGTTGCTGAAATTATAAAATAAGAAAGTTAATTAATTAAAAATAATAATAATAAAAATTTGTATACAAGATTATTTATATATAAATATACATAATTGGCGCTATTTAACCGCTGAAGCGATTTTCCGCCGAGCTCCTCCTCCATCTTGTGGTTTTGCGTCTTGATGTTTTTCCAACAAATGGAGGGACCCACAGTTTATACTTAGCCGCCTCTGAACGGCTGATGAGTTTTTTTTGAGGAGCTTTATTTTATATCAGAAATACACTCGGAGGGGTTGACATTCCCTGCCGAGAGGCGTCCGCTTAATTTTGTTATTTAAATTAATTTTCTATAACTTTGGATGCTGGTCGCACGGGGATTTGAGCCCTTGCCATCCGAATGGCAGTACGCAACGCTAGCCGCTCGGCTACCGCGGCCGTCAAGACTATTTGGTTTAAATAAATAACTCACTCAAAAATACTGTGAAGAGAGTAAAAGGAGAGAGCGATAAAGAATGTAATTTTCTTGAGGTTTAAGTTATATGTGTGTATGTGTATATGTGTATGTTCACTCAAGTGTTGACTGCTGTTCACCTAGGAGTATATTATTCAAGCAGCTCACAACTTTCGATCTTAGACCAAATATCCTCTCGGTAGCCAACAAATATCCGTGTGAAGGTGAGCTAAAGTGAGAAGGCAAAGCTCATTCTGTTATGCATAAGCTTTGGAACCAAACACACGAAAAATGTGCTCCAAAGAAATACCAAGCAAAGTTTAGGATGCGAGACCACCTTTCTTTACTACGGCCTCACAAGGTTTTTGAAGAACACGATTTGGGGGCATGTACCTGAAATACCCTGTCCCTTAATTGGAAAGATGCCTCCGCTGAACTTGTTCTTGTTTGTTAAATCAAAGGCAGATATTAGCGCTGTCCAAAATGTTCGTTGGACAGCACAAGGATACAAAAAGAAAGGGTCCTTGTTAAATTTTCTACACCAGTCATTTAAATGAGCGCGAATTTGGAAGATTAATCTCAAATGGTTTGAGACTGTTTGTGCTTCCTAGAGCTCTAGAAATGGTTGTCTGTAGTACGAGATTTCGGCACAAGAAAATCCATTAAACTACATGGATCGAAAATCGCGAAATCAAATCGCTCATTGTTGTCTCTAGTGTACTGGATTTGCGCACAGTTTTCGATTTGAGGTGGCGTAAAATTGGCCACAAAAAAACACTGCAGATTAAACATTTTAAAGCCTCTCACTAAAAGTCAAAACTTTTTTGTAATGTCATAAAAAAATTGTTTTTATGGCCATAGGCAAAAGCCATATGTATAAATAAAATATTCATCCTGCAAACATTGCTGTCCTAAGCCATAACTCACTTAAATATGCATAAGCTGTTAAATGAAAAAAAAAAATTAATATTTTAGAAAATCAATTTATTTATAGCAACGTCTGTCAACACAACAAAGCATTACAAACGCAAAAAAATGCCGCAAGCTAAATTTATATTGAAAAAATTAACAACAAAATATCAGAAAAAAAAGACAAAATATTTAAACAACGTTTTTAAAAGCCTGCGAAAAGCATTGTACGTTGCAATTGCAAGCGTTTAGAGGTAAAAAATATTTACCAAATTAATATCAATATTTAAAGCAGATTTAAAATATTAGTCTGATTAAATTTTTTTTCGCTTCCTTCCTACCTTTGTTTTGTATAAATCTGACATTGTTTGCACTCAAGTCTATGTATGTTTTGCCAATTCATTTCATATTTAAATAAAAAAGTTTTTTCCATATGGCAAATGTTTAATTAATTAATGCAATAAAGTTCCATTTGCAAACAGCAAGCCAATTAAATGCAGTTCCAGGCGTATTGCACACACATACAAAAATATGTGCGAAATAAAAATTATGTACATTGAAGCAATATGTTACAAAAACTTCATATCCTTTGGCTATTTTTATTAACATACACATGCATATGTATATATACATATAAATATATTTTTTTCCATTTCAAAAATGCATTGACAAGCGCTATGGTAATCACGGAAAATTTTTGCATATTAAACGAGTTGGTTTGTCGCTGAGCGAGCATAGCAATATACACACACACCTACATACATATGAAATAGCCATGTATTTGCAAATATGTTTTGCCAACATCTCATTGTAAGTCTTTTATGTAGCTGTCTACTTTGCTACTGTTTACGTGCAGCATTAAAGTGTTTCATACACATGCATACGTACACGAATTTACATGCTGACATACGAAAAAAGTCGCTTAACAAAAAAGGGATTAGTGTAATTAAATCCTCCTTCATTTTATTGAAGAGCTCTTCTTTCACCAACGAAATCTGAAAAGTAAATATTTCACAAAATATACATTTTTTTCCGCTCTAAAACAGCAACAGCACCCACTGTTAAGCTTAACTAACTCTTTTATAGTTCTTCTCCATGTAACTGTGCTTTTTTGTACTCGGTTATGTAATTCATTAAAACCAAAGAACAGTTAGTAATAATATTAAATAACAAATTTCAAAACTAAACTATAATGAAACAAAATAAAATAACATTAAATTAATGTAATTAAAAAAATATAAAAAATAAAATATAACAATAAATATATAATACACAATAAAACATAATAAAGCAAAACGTAATGAAAACAAATAAAATTAAACAAAAAATAACATAAGCAATTTTCAATAAAGTAGAACGAAATAAAAATTAATGTAATTAAATTAAAATAAAATAAATCAAATAAAAAAATAAAAATAAATTATATAAAATATAAAAATATAAAACAAAATAAAAATAAAATAAGATAAAATAAAATAAAATAAAACAAANTAGTTATTTATTTATTTATTTATTTATTTATTTTTTTTTTTTTTTTTTTTTTTTTTTTTTTTTTTTTTTATTTTTTTTTTTTTTTTTTTATTTATTTATTTATTTAGCCTCTTAGATCATTATTGACAGTAAATATTTGAAACAACTTAAAAGAAATTTATCGGTTTTAGCTGAAGATCAGAATCCTTTTGCTATCTGTTACTTGCTATTTACTATTTTAAGTTAGTATATTTTACGATATTGCTGTCATTTTATTCAATGCACTCTGTACATACGTTCTTTCGAGTTCTACGTAAATTCTCTCTTTATACTTGGGAACACATGAGCACATGCATTTAATTGGCAGTGCACAAGAAAGGGTGGAACAAAATAAGGAATAAATTAATTAAGAAAAAATGCTCTATACACACATACACATGCCGGTGGCCATTAATTTGTACAAATACAAAAAACTGCAACAACAGCACAAGCACAAGTGGCGGGGCAACATAACCGCAAACGATTTGCATAAAATGTCAACAGAGAAAAAAATTTCAAAAAAAGTAAGGAGAAAAAATATCACAGGAGCAGCACTTAATTTCTGTCACATTGATTAAAAACGATTTTACCAAAGCACTTTTACATGTCAATATGTAATTTGAGTAGTTTTGTTTTTTCTTTTTTTGCTTATAAAAAACAAACGGAGAATATGTATGTATGCGTATACACACATAAGTGCATTTAAATAGACAACACCGGCGACCAAGCACGTTTCGAACAAAACACAAATATTTATTTAAAGATTTTCACTTTCCAAAAACCACAAACACTCAATAAAGAGCTTTACTTCTTCATTTACGAGCAGAGGAGAAAAACAAAACAAATTGAGAGTCAGTAGGACAACTGTTACGTTTTCTTCCAAAATAATTAAACTTTTTTTACCGCTAACATACTTATCTAAAGCTGCCATTATAAAGTCTAATTACTGCTTGATGGCCAAGATGATAATTGCCAGCAGTGCAAAAGTTGATGAAAAATCTGTTAATAAAAACAAAAAAAAACTCCTGATGTCTACTTGTCACAGATTCTGTCAATATGTCAGTTGATTTCAGATAAGACGCGTTAAAGTTGGATTTACGCCCAAATTTTTTTTCCTTAATTTTAGTCGTTGCGCCTCTCTGAAAGATAAAGTTGAAGGTAAATTTAAAACCGTCAAAATTATCTCAAAAATACTTTAATGGCAAGATGAGCATAATACACATGCAAGTATATAATGTGTATGTACTTCAGAAGATATGCTAATATTTATATATATATTTTTTTTGCTGCACCACACAGACGCTGACGTATGGTTTTTATTTTAAATTTTTTTTATTTTTATTTTCAGTACGATTTTGATAAGCTCGATTATCTTAAAATCTTCCACTAAGTACATATGTAGCAATGTACATGCGAATGTATGTTAGCACTGCCCAGCTCACCATGGTAATTATTATGCCCAGATGTACTTGCTAAAAGAGTGACAGACAGTGTTGTGCAAAAATTTTTAAGCGAACTTTGTTTTTATTCTAGCATTTCGTGTTTGGCTTTATTCGTAATTTTCATAACAAATTTGTAACAATGTAATTAACATTTAGTCTCACCATAAATATTTTTTTAATTATTATCAACCCCCAACTATGCTTTTTAAACCGTGTGGTCAGCTCAAAATAAAGCATCAAATGCTAATTTTATAGTTTACTTTTAAAGATGAGCGTTAATGTGTATCAGTGGTGCATTGAAGAACACTCCAAGTGCGATTCTAAATGCAATATCCTGCCGATGGACTTGGTGGTATATCAGTCGATAGCAATAACCACACTTCGTTTAAGAGAGTCAAATCAATGTATCACTCTGCTATTGGGAAGCAGGGAAGATTGGATCAAAGCTTGGGGGTCGGCGGAGAGCCCTCCGGTGGAACTGACCACTACAATGTCTCTCAAATGATTCGCTGGCCACCAAGAGACTTTGGTGGAAACTGCAAAGTAACATTCAGACCAAGCATATTCTTCTCCATAAAGAAGTCTGTTTTTTGCCACTTGCAAGCTGCTTTTCAGGGAAATTACCAACCGCAATGATCCAGATGCAATGAAATTACAAGCTGCTGCAAACGCAGGCATACCTGTATGTGTATTCCTAAGAAAGAGGGGCACGT